AACTTTATTGTTCTTTACATCGTTACAAATCTTATAGATCTGTATTACTTTAACATGTATTTAAATAAATGTAATTTAACATAGAAAATTAGATATCTTGTACTTTATCTTTGGTCTTGACAATAATAAAGAATAGATCAAACTGCTGATTATTCTAATTATCTTATTCTTATTGAATTTCTTGTCTTCCTTGTTATAATAATTTATTACGTGTTAAATTATTATTCATATTAGTTATAAAGCTTCACTTGTGATAATTATAAATATAATCTTTGTCACTTGATATTGGAACTCATATTTTAGAAAGACTTATATTATATACTTTTGTGTGAATACAGTCACTATCATCTATCTCATAAATATCTTCATTAATAAAGATCACAGATTGGTGACAATGCTATATTTATAATAATTATTTGTTACTCAATTTTTTCAATCTAAAACTAATCTATTTTATTTAAAATAAGATTTAATTTATCCTATAAATTATCTTGTGATACTTGCCTCAATATTTCACACTTTTTGTTGAGTGTAACTAATACTATAAATTACTATTAAGCTAATTTGGTCTTTAAAAATTAATTAATATGTGTTTTTATATTAATAATAATATAAAAAATAATACAAATTAAATACAAATAATATGAAATATATTAAAAGTAGAATGGATAATATAAAATAAAATAAAATAATATGAAATATAAAATGAATAGTATGAAATATATTTAAATAGAATAAAATAAGAATAGATAATATAAAATATAAGATAAATAGTATAAACTAAAAAGAGATTGTAATTTATAAATTATATATTTACTAACTATTCAATAAAAATATACTTAAAATAATGTGATATATTTTATATTAGATACTAAAATATCATATAGTAACAATATATAGAAGTAAAATAATAATAAAATAAAATAATATATATAAAAATGAAAAATTGAAAAAGTAAAATAATATATATAAAGTGAAAAATTGAAAAAGTAAAATAATAAAAAAGTAATATATATATAAAAGTAAAAAGTTGAAAAAGTAAAATAATATTAGAAGATTTTATTATTATATAAATATTTTTATAATTTTTATATTTTTTAATTATTTTTGAAATTTGAAATTTTTAAGTTATTATTATAACAATATAATTAATAATTACTAATTAAAATTAATATTAATTAATATTTATTATTAATATTAATTAATATTTATTATTAATATTAATTAATTATTAACTAAAAATTAATAATTAATTTTGATTAGCAATTGATTAATAAAAAAATTAATTATTATTAATTTTTTTTAATTAATAATAATTAATTTTCAGTTAACAATTAATTGCTAACTTATTTTAAAAGTTTATGATATTGAAGTACTAATTAAAAATAACAAAAAGATAATTTTATATATAATCTTGATTTTTACTCTAATTCTAATACTAAAATTATCCTTTAATACTGTGATAAATATTTATTACATGTTTATTATACTTTAATATATTTCTTCTTTTGATAATTAAATTGAAAATAATAAAATATAATTATATTTAATAATCATATAATATATAATCAAAAATTATTATTAGTAATTACAAATATAATTTCTTTATATTATTATAATAAAATAATTATTTATTATTTATTATTTATTATATATATTAATAAAGAAAAAATATATTAGTACTATAATTATTTTAAATAAAGAATTTTTTACTTTTAGTAAAAGAATCATATAAATTAAAAGAGAAAATAAACTAATAAATTGATTAGTATAAAAATAAATATTTATAACCACTATTATATATATTTAGAATTTAGTTATTTAAATATAATTTCATAAAAATTTATTTAAATTCTATATATTATATAAAATTTGAAAACAAATTTGTCTGATTGCACAAATAACTTAAATTAATAAATTTTGTATAAATTTTTATTAAAAATTACAAATTGAAATATACAAAAATTAAAATAAATAAAAAGATTCTAAAAATAATTTTATTAATTAATTTTGCAATCATTTTAAGAAAATATATTTTCATATTTTAAAGAATATATTTAAATTTTTAATTAAATTTATTTTAGAATTATAAAATAATAAACAATTAAAAATATATAATTTAGCTAGATTTCTTAGTAAAAATAAAAAAATTCAATTTTTATTATGCTTTATTAGAAAATCTAGCTAAATTACATTTTTTTAATTGTTTATTATTTTATAATTATAAAGTAAATTTAATTAAAAATTTAAATATATATTTTTTGAAATATAAAAATATATTTTCTTAAAAATAATTGCAAAAATAATTAATAAAATTATTTTTTAGAATCTTTTTATTCTTTTTAATTTTTGCATATTTCAATTTGCAATTTTTAATAAAAATTTACACAATATTTATTAATTTAAGTTATTTATACTATTAGACAAATTTGTTTTTCAAATCTTATATATTATAAGATTTAAATAGAAAGAAATCAGAAAATATATTAAAAAATATAATAAAATATATTAGTTAATAAATTAAAATTATAAAATTTACTAATTTTTTTCAGAAATAAATCAAAAAATATAACAAAATATTATAAAATATATAAAAAATTAATAGAAAAAATAATTTGAAATTTAATAGAAAAATCTAAAAATTTGCTAAATTTTTTGAGAAAAAAGAAAATATTTTTATAATTAAACTAAAAATTTACTGGATTAAACAATAAACTTTCAAAATTTTAAAAAAATAATAATTCAGAAAAAATTTGAATATTTTTAGAAAAAGAACAAGTTAGTTTTTTTTGAAAATATTTTAAAAAAATTTAAAAAATTATTCAGATTTTTTCAGAAAAAAAACAAGTTTTTTATTTTTTTTTGACAAAATCTGAATAATTTTCGAAATTATTTTTTAGAGAATTTTTTGAATTTTTTATAAAATTATTTTATTATTAATATATATAATAACAATCAAAAATAATGCAACAATATCAAAATTTATTATTTAAATATAGTAAAATATAGATTTTTCTCTTATATAAAAGTTTTTAATTTTACTAATAAATATTTTTTATTTTTATATTAAAATAAAGATAATATTATATATTTTAATATATATTTTTTCAAATTTTTTAAATTTAATCTAATAAAATTATTCTAATTGCATATAAAATTAATTATTTTTTATAATTAAAATATATAAAAAATAATTAACTTTATATGTAATTAGAACTACTTTATCAGATTAAATCTAAAAAATCTAAAAAAAAATATATGTTAAAATATATAATATTATTTCTATTTTAATATAAAAATAAAAAATTTTTATATAAAAAGAAAAATCTGAATTTTACTATATTTAATTAATAAATTTTGATATTATTACATTATTTCTAATTATTACTATATATTATAATTATTTATATTAAATAATTAATTAAATATTATTATTATATATTAATAATTAATAATATTAACTTAAAAAAATTAATATAATTTAGTTAAAGTTCTGAAAAAAAGTTTAATTCAATTCAAATCTAATTTAATTTGAATTAAATTCAATTTGAACTTGAATTAGATTAAAAATAATATTTCAATTAATTATAACTAGTGATAACCAATTAGAAATTATAATTTAATTATAATTAATTTTAATAATTAATTAAAAAATTGTGATTAAATTGCAATTTATTTTTAAATTAGACTCAAATTTGATCAAAATCCAATTCAAAATTTAAATTCAATTAAAATTTGATTCAAGTTCAGTTTGAATTCTAAACTTGACTTGAATATAATTAAAATCCAGTTCAAGTTCAAGTAAATATTCAAAAAGATTTTAAATAAAGTTGTGGATTATAATTAGAGCTACAAATTAAAATAGTTAATATTGAGCAAAGTTATAGTCAGAAATAAGTTATAAAATAGTTGGTATTAATAATAAATATTCAAATAGTTATATAACATTTACAATAAAATTCAATAAATATAAAAATGAAAATATTTTAGTTATCACTAAATAAATTTTTAATTCTTAATAAATACTATAAATTGTATTTATAAATAAAGTTGTAGCTCAAGTTTAGAGCTACAAGATACTATCGCTATATACTGATCTTGAACTGAACTCAAACCAGACTTGAGCTCATATAATGGTTCAATTCGAGTCCGGTTTGAGTTCAGTTTGAATTTCAAACCAGACTCAAACCCAGGCAAAAGTCCAGTTAAGTTCAGTGCATAGAAACACTAGATTCAGTTCTGATTTAAAAAAAACTGGTCTTTTTGAATCAAAATCAAATCAGACTGAATTGTAACATCTCTACAGATAGATGCTCGAAACCTTTTATCTTTTTGCTCACGCCTTAAAAGATGTCATTCAAAAAACATGATGAGCAAAAATCCAAACATAGCTATAACATCCCATCGAAAAATTCGAAGAAGCCAAAAAGGACAATAAAGTTCGTGGTGGTGTTGGTCATTAAATATTTAAAATTACCGATGATTTAAAATATAATTCGATCAACTAAAACAAATATCAATATACAGTAAAAACGATATTGATCAAACTCTGCTGAAACTTTCAACCACATTGAAAGGTCTTTCAGCATTTGAGCGCAGGTTTCTTATTCGCATGCATTTCGATCTCGAATTTATTCAATTAATGACGTCAACGCTACATTAGCAGTTTCTAAAGTTATTGACAACGAATTCATTCTAAATAAAAATAAATGATTCAATCGTCAATATGATACCAATCTCACATACTAAAGAAAAAGATCAAGATAGCTGAAAAGTCAAAGTAAAACGATTAAAGGTTTTAATCGTATTTCAATGGTAGATGTACGTACATATATTTAAAAGCAAATTACATGTAATGTACGTAATCGTAATACAGCATTTAAAATAACAAGAATGATGCGAGTTTAAGAAATTACGATTTTTAGGGGCATAATTGTCTCTTCCCGAACCTAAAGATTGAAATAGAATTAAGTTTTGAAAGAACTAGTGTCAAAAAAATATCACCAAAAAATAACCAACCAAAGTGCAAAAACGGTACAAAGTAATTTTGCTGGATTCTTCCACGGGGTCCATTGTTTAGTGAGTTTTTTCGCATCCCTTTAAAATGATAAAAACCGTGTAATTTAATACTAAATAGATGATTATTATCTTTATTAAATAAATTCGCATAAACACAAACTCTCTTCTAAACCGATTCTTCAACATTCTCTCCGTAGAATTCCAACAATATCCAGCGCCAAACAACCCAAACCTCTTTTTGCCTCCACAATCGAGATAAAAATCCTCAACAGTCGAAATTCTAGGGATTTCGTACCAATCCGATTCTCGAACTAAATCTCTGTCAAGAATTTCGTTTTGATCGATCCTCGTTCCGTTTTGAGTATTATGAATTACCCAGATATCATTTGTATCGGTTTCCACAGCGATTCCGTAATGACCGATTATTTCGGATATATTAAAGGAGATCGAATTGGGAAAGTAAATTAGCTTAGCTTGTTTCACTCGTTGTTTAAGAATTTCTTTATTGTTGGGTTTAGTTTGCATTTTTTTATTGATTCATTCTCTATATGAATAGATTTGGTTTATATACATTTTTGCTTATTGACAACTAAAAAATTTAGTTGATGCATTTGTTAATTTTTATCATGCAAACATTGATGCATTTGTTAATTTTTAATCATGTAAACATTGATAAATTTTAGAAATGTTGCTATGAAGATAAAACCATAATATGTATTATTATTTTTGACATTAAATTGTCGTGTATAAAGCAAAAAAGTCACATTAATATATATGCGTTTCAATAGTTTTTTTTGGCACAAGTTTATTTTAGAAATTATCGTTAAAATATATTAAAGATTCACTATGTAATTTCTTACTAATAGCTTTGAGGTTAAATTAAAGTCGAAATTTCTACATGAGAGGATATACATTAGTAGCACTCGTCCTGAAACGTTGGAATACAATGGCCTAGCAGAATATTGGACACTTTTTAAAATATAATAATACAAAAATCAATAAAAAACAAGCTTTATTGTTCTAAGCTAATATATTTATTAAAACATATCGTACACTGCTGATTAGTTCAAATAATAAATAGAAAAATCTAAAATCTAATGTCAAACTGAAATTTATATGAAAAAAATATTTTATTTTATAAAGATACAAATATCTTCATATTCAATGAACTAAATTAAATAAAATTTTAATAGCAAATTCATCAAGTCAAGTGGAGATATCACATCTCAAAGATAATATTCAAACTCAGAATAAACTTTTTTTGAAGAAAATAGTTTTTTGTGAATATTTTTATATTCAATGAATCAACTTAAATGATTTTGATATTATTAGATTCATCTTGACTAGGTGAATCTAATAATATCAAATCATTCAATTTGGTTTACTGGAGATGAAGATATTCACAAAAATGCTTTTTTTAAAATTTTATCCTGATTTATATAGTATTTTTGAATTATTATATCTCAATATCTAGTACTCCAAATCGAATGATTTTGATATTATTAGATATATCTTAACTTGGTAAATTGGTTGTTAAAATTTTATTTAATTTGATTTACTAGATACAAAGATATTTGTATTTTTATAAAATATAATATTTTTTTCATGTAAATTTCAGTTTGACACTAATTTTATTTTTTATTTGAACTAGTTATTGAAATTACTTGAAATTTTGATATAATATACAATATGTTTTAATAAATCTATTAATTTAGAATAGTAAATCTTATTTTTTATTGGTTTTGCATTATTATATTTTAAAGTATTAATAATATTTTGCTAAATTATTGTACTAAATTTGTAAGAATTCCAAATTATTTTCTATTTTATAAAATTATATATAAAGCATTAATTAATTCCAAAAAAAATTAGAATCTCTGAAAATGCTAAGTTCTTCTTTAATTAATAATATAATTTATTTTTTTAACTTTTAAATATTGATCAATTAATATAAATTAATATATAGATAAATAATATTTTTTTATAATATCTAGATTTTATATTTATTAAATTATTTAATTAGTAATCAAAAGAAAAAGATTTAAATATTTACTAATTTAATTTTTTGTATTATTTATATATATTAATAATTAATATTAATAATCAATATTTATAATTATTATTTATATTATAGTTTCAAAAAAGTTCAAGTTTGATTCAGTTCAAGCTTAAAACAAATTCGAATCTTATTAAAAATCAGATTTAAAAATTTAAATTCAATTAAATCTGATTTGAGTTTAATACAAACTTTAAATCTAACTTAAACTTAATCAAAATCTGGTTCAAGTTCAAGTAAATAAATTATAACTAAAATTATAAATTAGTATAAACCAATTAATATTTAAAATAAATATTCAAAAATTATAAAGGTTTAAAAATATTTATGATTTTAATTCACTTTATTTATATTATAGTAAATATTTATTTTTAATAGTAACTATTATATATATAATAAAACTAATTTTATCTTTTTTCACAATAATTAATCAAATAAATTAATTAGTAATTAATTGGATATTTATATTAATAAAATATTATATTAATACTAAAATTACCAAATATAAAAATATATATAATATTTTTATTCTTATCAAAAATTTTATAATTACTTAATTTTTGATTAATAAAAATTAAGATATATTACAATATTAATCAATATAGCTTAATATAACTCAATAATAATTAAATTAATTTATCTTTTTATTTTTATATTATATCTTATTACATAATTATATTTAATATATATTTTTATCTTTTTAATATTTAAATTATAATACTTAATAATCACATTTTTATATACTTTTTGTTTTATTTTCTCATATAATTTCACTAAATTTATTTATTTATATATTTTTTACTCTAAAATTTATATTTTTACTATTGATTATTACATTTATATCTCTATTACATTTATTTTTATTTTTAATTTCATTATTTTTAACTAATTATTCTTATATTTATTTTTTTCACTTTATTACAATTATTCTTTTATTCTCTTAATTTTTTTGTTATAATTATCTATAATCAAATTTATATTATTATTTTTTTCTTTATAACACTTTTTTACTCAAATTCTTATTTTTTATTTTAATCATTAAAATTACAACTAATTTTTATTTTGTATTTTTTTAATAAATTTGTGTAATTTTTTAGTATTTATTCTCCTTTATATTAATATTATTTGTAAATTATAATATAGTATAGAATAGTTATTAGTTATATAAATTTTATAAAAAATTGAAAATGTATAAAAAAAGTTTCTTGTTATTAAAAACTCTCATACTCTAATCCTCTAATTTAATAAAAAATAACAAAGTTTTTACTTATAATAATTTACTTGTATATATACTATTATTTTTATGAATTATTTTCAAATCTTGGAATTACAAATAATAAATACTTTTTTACTCTAAATAAGTTGTTAATATTATTATCTTTATTTATTTTTGTTTTAGATTATGTTTAATTATTTTAGTTTATATTTTATAATTAATAATCTTAATAAATTTGATTATTATTTTATTTTGTTAAGCATTATCAATGAGTTTTATTATTTGCTTTTTAGTTAATTAATAATTTCTTTAATGCTTTTTATATTTTTACTTAATTTTTCTATTTATTTCTATTCTTTATTATTAATAGTTAATTAGTTTGAACATAAATTATTGTAAAAAATCTTTAAAATTTTTAGTGAATTCTATTAATTGTAAATGATTTAGTTTTTGTTTTTTACTATTATATTACTTTATTAATTTATTAATTTTAATAATTTTTGGATTAATGAAAATATTTTGATGCTTTCTTTGTGAAAATATACTTTTTCTCTTACTTTTATAATATTATTTTATTTAATTTATTATTATATGAATAATTTTATATTTTATTAAATAATCTACTAATACTTACTTTTATGCTTACAAATTTAAACTAGAAAAATAACTTCTTCTAAAAATAATTTTTAAATATTATTATTACTTGTACTTTATCTCTTTTAATAATATTTCTAATAAATTAAATAATTTTGTTAATTGAATTCAAACTCTTGAAGCTGTTTCTAAATTACATACTATTAAGATAATATTTAAAAATATTTAAATATTTATTTAAGTTTACTATTAAAAAAATTTTATATAAGTATTATAAGATTTTTAATACTCTATTATATCAAAATAAGAATTCAATTCTAAACAGTTATAACTTATTCAGTTTGTAACAAATTACATTAATAATCAAGAATTCAAAAAAGTTTCAAATCTTTCTGATAAAAATTACTCAAAACTTAATAAAATACTAAAATAATCAACAAGTTCAATAGCAAGTTTCTGTTACAAATTATGACTTTGATTTTGAATTTTATCTTTCAGAATTATTCAAAAAAATGACAAATATTGATATAATTTTAGTAGTTATTAATAAACTCACAGTAATCTTAATAACTCAAAATAATAAAATAATTATTATATTTATCCAGAAATTATATGATGAAAATATAAGAATACTTTCTTATTTGAAAAGTAATAAGATAAATTTATTAATTATTATAAATAAATTATATCAATTAAAATAATTTTTAGTTTTAATTTTAATAAAATTTATTTTTTATTTATTAAAATAGTGAAAAAATCTAAAGAGCTATAGTACAGAATAGAGTTGTTTAAATATATAATTTGATATTTAATGAATTACAAATAAATTAATAATAAATAAGAGTGATTAGTTCTAAATTATTAATCTTAAAGGTAATATGTTTCCAAGTTATGCTATACTTAATTAGATATATAAGAAATATAAATAATAATAAAAAGTAATTAATATGAATTTAAAAATAATAAATAGAAAAATAAAAGAATAAATAAAAATTAAAGAAATTAAAAACAAAATGTATTTAAATTAATAATATGATCTATATTTCACATCTAATCTATTTAGCAAAATATTAAGAAATTAAAAATAAAATGTGTCTAAATTAATAATATGATCTATATTTCATATCTAATCTATTTAGCAAAATATTAAGAAATATTAAATATAGATCTGTATTAATTTTTTACATGTTATACAAAAAATGATAAATATAACATAAAAAATTAGGATATAATACAAAAAATTACAAGGATATATGAAAATTGTTACAGAAAATCAAGATTCTATTACTTAATTAAAAAACTTTGAAGTTACTACTGAAGCAAATAGAATAATAAATGCAAGAAAATTCAAATTATTTGTGAATATTTAAAAGATTCTGCTATTATAATTAAATCTTTCTATAATCATAATTATTTATAGTCACATCTCTCTATAGTTACTTTATTTATTTTGTTTTTTTATTTATATATAAACATAGTAAAAAAATCTCTCTATAGTTACATTCTCTCTATAGTCATCAAATTTTGCTTTTCTAAAAATGGTGATTATAGAAAGATTTAACTGTATTTGATTTGATAAGAGAATCAGAGAAAATGTTCTCATTCTAAACAACTAGAAAAATCAAGATCATAATAAATATGACTTTAAATATTAATTTA